TGTTATTTTGGATATTTCTCTTTGGTTTCATTGTTACTATATATCATCATGTTTATATGCTTATCTTATGCATAGATGATAGTTTTGATCTCTTTTCTTGTTAATTCTCTCTTATTATTTCTCTTCCTTCCTTGTTAAGTTTTATTTGTCAATTTGTAACAAAAAGGGAGAGAAGTGTGCATAATTGAGGGGGAGAATTTCTAGAATTGAGGGGAAGACATATACATTGATATATTCATATTGATATATTATTTATCTTTCTTAATTAAGTTTCATGGGTAGTTTTGTTAAGCTAATGTGCAGGTTACAGGGGGAGAAAACTACAAGTGATGAAACTTCATATGGTTCAAGAAGAATTCCAGTTTTTGTCTATTTTTGGGCTATCAATGTAATTTATTTTTTCTGCTTCAGTAGATTACTTATTGTTTTTAAGGTTTTGTCAAGAAATTGCCAAAGGGGGAGATTGTGATATATATATATATATATATATATATATATATATATATATATATATATATATATATTGGGGAGATTGTGAGATATATATATTTTGTAATTGGCTAATTTCGTTGTCAAAACAAGTCCGATCAAATTGTAAAATTTTGGTTCAAAATTTTAAGATTGAAGATCGGAAGCGGATTTGAAGAAGTTCAAGTGTTCATACTTTAATACACTCTGGGATGATGAGAATAATGCTTTAGAAAGGTATAATGAGTGTGTGAGAACATTTAGGAAGTTTTGAAATTTTTAGTAAGTTTACATTCTGCCTATCTTGAACTGGTAAGAGAATATTCGAACATGTTCAACTTGAACTGGTTGCCAATTAAGGAATAGGTTCAACTTTTGCAGATTAGTAATTATTCTATTCTATCCATTGGGAACCAGTAGCCAACTCCTTAACCGGTCGCCAATCTCCAAAGGAATCTTCTCTGGCCATCTTAAACCGGTAGCCAATTCCTCAACCGGTTCAAGACTGTTGAATTGTTTGGTAACTTTAGTTTCTTGATCTGTTTTGATTTTTTTTTGGTCTAGACTTCCTTCCAAAATCCTATACACAAATTTCACTTGTTTTTACAATTATTTTTAGGTCTTCTAAACTTCTATATAATTAATGCTCTTTCATTTAACATTGAGGGATGACTTTAAGGAACAAAAATTCACTTTTTTGATAAAGCCTTTTGAGAGATTCAGAAAATCAAATCTGATTTTTCTGATTTTATTTTTGAGAGCACACATAGATATACATGAGTGATTTAGTTATGCTATTCTTTATCTCATCGAAATTGGAGCTTAATTAAAGATTCAGCTATTCCGAAAGAGCATATCTATTTCTTTTACATTAAATTCAGATCTTGAAGAAAAAGGGTGAAGCGATCGCACTTTGAAGGGGTCAAAGCATTTGTGGAGCATTATTTTATCTACCTGTAACTCTTCTATATAGATCAAGGGTAAGCTTGAGGTTGAGAGCTGTTGGACGGGGGAGTCGCAAAGCCAGGGATTGTCAGCGATTGATATTTTGTAGAACTATAGGGTATGAGCCTGAGCCAAAGTTCAGTATACTTTGCTTCAAATATAGTGGATCGTTTTGCTCTGGACTGCATAGTGCACGAGGTTTTCCTCACAACAATTGGTCTATTATGCCAATTGTGGTTTCCTCGCTAAAAATCCTGGTGTCATCTCTTAAATTTTATTTACTTTACTTGCACTTTATTTTTGCTTTGTGGGTTTGATTTTAGTTTTATTTTGGTAACATTAAAATAAGTAAAAATTGAATAAAGGAGTAAGTAAAACCTATTCGCCACCCATCTAGGTTATTTATCTATATTTTTAATACAAACTTCCACATTTTATTCCGCTGCATAACTCACAGTGTAACGGATTCGGACAAATCAATGTAAATTGGCCGATACGGATCGTGTATCGGATTTGAAAAATGATCGTGTATCGGCCGATAAATAGAATATAAGATAATACGGTAACCATGGTCAAGAGTAAAATAAAAAAGTTTGGTACTAGGATTCACATCAGATCACCATAATACCCTTAGCATCCCAAATAATTTCACCCAATTTAATTTCACCAAATAAATTGGCTAAATGGCTCGGGATTCCATCTCAAATTATCAGGCTCCACGAATCCAACACTTGATAAGTAACCCACTAGGATAAGTGAATATTATATTCATTTCTCTCAATCCTCTACCTGAATCTTACTTGAAGTAAATATAATTATAAATTGTGCAAGTTAAAAGTAGTAGATCGAGTTTTACCATGGGTAACAAATGATCACATGGACGTTTTGGAAAGAATACCAAGAACCAAAATTGAAAAAGTGTTCATAATTAGAAAGTTAAACATACACGTTCAGTTCTTCTTTACTTCTGTTACTTAATTATGAGTTCGTATAGATCATTAATTAATTAGTTTCATCCATAATATTCCAGATGGGGTGCATGGTAACAATTAAAGCTTTCATTTTCATAATTATAAATCACCAGCCTAGGTTAGGTACAAAATAATGAAATCCTATGTAAGTAGGCAAAGATCTGTGAACATAAAAAATCATATTGTCGTGATTGATGGGGATATGCTGTTATAGGTTGTACTGATCTGGTTACGATAGGCAAAAGAGACATTCAATCTTGAACCATGGTCTCAACTCATAATCCATGGGATTGGGATATATATGTCAACATTAGTATCATTATATCCCATTAAAATAAGACACTCAATCTTGAAGACTTTAGCTATCCATAAGAAAAGTTTTTAGACAGTCGTAAACTATATTTAAGTTTCTTTGTAATATCTTATTAAATGTTGATCACTTTTTTAATTATTGAGAGAGTTTTGATTGAACTGAGCTACATGGTTAACGGTTTCACATCGAATTTGGATAAAGATCGAAGTGAATGGATATATGGGTTGGGTGTTAGCTTAATTTTTTTGATCCAGTCGTGAAACACCTGACTCGATATAGTTGGCATCAAAACTAAGTCCAGTCTTTGAACACTCCGAGTAAAAAGACAGTTTGATTGTGAATTCCAATGACATAACTCACTTTCTAAGAGTACTTTTATAGTAATTAATGACATTACTCATCCTCCTATTTCCATATCTTCCTGATTTTCTTATTTATTTGTTATTATATATATATATATATATATATATATATATATATATTGCATTGAATTACTTCTTTTTAAGGAATAAGATCAACATAAAAGAAACTTTGAATCATCAAAAGTTGATTAGACACATTTGTCCAACACTCCACCTTTAAAATTGCATAGCTAATTTCACCCTGGTATGCTTTCATATCAAGTGTTAAAAGGGTCAAATTCTGATTGTATGCCACAAATATGGAATTGTACGTCCATCTCAATAGGTGGGGATACTTTTTGGTAATGTTTTTGCTTCTTTACATATTCCCCGATATGTAATGGCCGGGTTCAGGGTTCTGTTTTATCATTCTGTAGCCTCCCTTTTCCTATTAGTTTTCTCTCTATATTTACTTTCAGTAATAATATTATCTGAAAAAATATATATATATATTCATAGTACGAAATTGTGTTCAAAGACACTTAATTTATGAATCTGAAGGTTGGGAGGAAACCAAATATTTTTGTGTAAATATTGTTTGTCAATCGAAATCGTGAAGATCAGTTAGTTAGTTAGATGTACAATATAACTGACATGTGTTTTTTTATATTTCAGCAAGAAATTTGCGCACGTATTTCCAAAGAGAGAAAATATACAGTTAGAGTTACAGGCTCTAGTGTTAACCTAGCTCGTATCTTAATTTGTTAATTTCATTTCAACTTTATGGAAGAAAGACTAATCTTTGCCATTAGACTTAACATATTAAATAATTAATCAATACTCAAAGACTAACCACATTAGTCCCCAATTAGCAACAAGAACATAAAAAATGAAAAAGAATAAATAATCATAACATACAAGTGTAGCTGTAGGCAATAATTCATGACCCCTTCTGGACGAGTCAGGTTTTGTATGTGTCTCACTTGGTATAACCAATGATATCTGATTGGTACATAAAACTCCCATCACATGATCTAAAGAACACCACTTTGAAGCCACTTTTGTAGCTCAAACTTGTCATAATGTAAGCTCACATATCAATCCAATATTATACATATTGCCACTCTATATATCATACGTATATCTATCAATGATTTGAACAACATATACAGGGACTGTTTGGCAGCTTTTAAACTCCCTCCCACTCTTATAGAGGGAAGAGCTGTAAAAAGCAACAATCAATTTGACTTATTTTCTTTATAGTTTTACCTATACACACATGTATACATATATACATATTATATGTGTGTGTGACTGAGTGCTAAGTGTGAAAGAATCAAAGAATTTTGCCATAAAAAATAGGTTAAAAAGTGGGGTGGTGGTATTATACTATTTGGGAAATTGAAACTACAGTTCCCAAAGAAAAGGATTAGATAGATATGGTGAAGTTTGATTTTTTGGACTTTTTTTTAAGATATGGTGAAGTTTGATTTTTTGGACTTTTTTTTAAGATATGGTGAAGTTTGATTTTTTGAACTCTAAAAAAAATAAAAATAAAAATTGAACATTTTCTACCACTTAAAGACGGCATTCAATTCTTAATATCATCCGTATCTTGAAAAGAAAAGCATGCAAAATGCAAAGAGAGAGTTCCCATTTTCAAGTTTAGGGATTGGAGGAATCTTTTTTCATTCTCTCTCACTCATCACTTTATACAAATAAAGTTAGGAAGAGAGGCAAAGAGGCCACCGAAAAGCATGTACACCTTATCATGAAAGCAAGAAAAAAACGACCCGATTAGACTAGCCAACGCACACGCACATTACACTCACCCACACACACACACACACACACACAAACACACACACACGCTCATTCACCATCATCATCATCTCTCTCTCTCTCTATCTCTCATACATTGATCATTAATCATCTTTCTAATTTCTCTCTCTCTACTTTTTCATTCTTTTTAATATGGAAATCTCAAGTCAACCTCACCTCATCATTTGGTCTTGGTTCTTCTAGGCACCACCTCATTTCCCACTTTCTTTAATTTTTCACTACTATTTTTCTTTCTCCTCATCTTCTTCAGTACTATATAATTGTCACTCCTCTATCATCTCTTGCTACGTACCCACGGGGTTCGAATTGAGTTGAATTGAATTGATTTGATTAAAGTTAGCATGAAGGTGCACCAGTTCGCACGTGGATTGTGGGAGCACGAACCCTCCCTCACCCTTGGCTGCAAGCGTCTCCGCCCTCTCGCTCCCAAGCTTCAGCCCAACTCCGACACTTCAGTCACCGCCACCACCTCCACCACAGCTGCTTTCGATCTCAAGAGCTTCATTAGACCTGAAAGTGGCCCCAGAAAGCTTAGCTGCTCTGATGATAAGAGAGAACCAACTCAGGTCACACTCAATTATTTATGCATCACTTGTCCAATTAAACATCACTTCTTGCATGTACGGTGTTATTTAAATTTTTTTTTTCCCCGTTTTTTTGGGTACTACTAGCCCATGGCTAGTTAGTGGGTAGCTAGCTTTATCCAAATATCCTCGCTTGTTAATTAATTACACACACTCACACACACATAAGTGAGACATACACCAAGTAATGGAAAATGAGGTCACAATAGTCTGTTATTTTGGACTCTCGAATGGTTTACAAACTCCTCCATGAGATAGTACAAATATAAATGGCATAAAGAGCTTTACAAGGGGGGCATAAGAATAAGCATGAACATGATCAATGCTAGGTATTTGAAGGAATTTGAAAATTGAAGCATGGTTTTGACGAAGTTGAGTTTTCCGAACATTTATGCAGGTGGAGACACTTCCTGGTGGGACAAGGTGGAATCCTACGCAAGAACAAATAGGGATACTGGAGATGTTGTATCGGGGAGGAATGCGCACTCCCAATGCACAACAAATAGAGCAGATCACCGCGCAGCTCGGCAAGTATGGAAAGATTGAAGGGAAGAATGTGTTCTACTGGTTCCAAAACCACAAGGCACGAGAAAGGCAGAAGCAGAAGCGAAATAGCCTCGGTCTAAGCCATTGTCCAAGAACAACCCAGGCTGCAGCCACTAGTATCACCAGTATTATAACATTGGACACAAGGGTATGTCTCATTTCCAAAATCTCGCCTTAGAATCTCTTTAGTTCAAATCCCCGAAAAAAAGGGGTATGTATCTTTTATGTTTTTTGAATTTTTAAGAACTGTTTTTTTAGAAAACTGAACCAAGATCCTTAATTTCTACGTCACTGTCATCTAAACGAAATTTTGAACTGTTTTCTATTTCTCTGTTCACGGAATAAAGAGCGTACTCTTTTATCTTTTGAGTTCAATGGTTCTTAATTATAGTACAAAACAACTTTTGTAGGGAGAAGAAGATTGTTCATACAAGAGGAAAAGCAGAAGCTGGGCATTCGAGAGCTTGGAAGAGGACAAGAGGTATTGTAAAGAGGAAGGAGATCAGACTCTGGAGCTATTCCCACTACACCCGGAAGGCAGATGAAGGGGTTTGAATTTTTTTTTTTCTTTTCTTTTTCTCTCTCACTTTTGGCTCATTTGTGAGTTGCTTTGATGTGCTCTCTCTCTCCCTTCTTTCTTTGTTTCGAGAAAGAAGAAAAACAAGTTGTATCTTTGTACCCTCTCCTGATCTGATCCTTGTTATTCCTGACTCTGGGACCAAAGTGCTTTGTCGCTCTTGGAAATTGCTGCTAGTATACTGGTCTTTATTCGTTTTCGATCGGGTGGGTGTGATCTTCCACTTTTGACCACAAGAACTTGTTGAAACCAAGCTTTTAGGTTGAAAGTGGTGAAGACACTGAAGTCCAAGCACCAGCTCTCATTCCCACGGCCACTCCACATTTTTTTTTTTATGTTTCAATAGGGGTTCCCCCTTTCATAATGGTTAGCCGGGTTAATGGTCTGGTTCACACTTAACGCGAGATATGAAATCTTCAATCTAAATCCAACTTTACTTAAGATCAGCTTATTGAATTCGCGAGATTCTGATTAAAAGCCATTTAATCTCTCAAGTTTTGAGTTTTTGTTTTATGTTTTAATCCCCCTTTCATAATGGTTAGCCGGGTTAATGGCCTGGTTCACACTTAACCCTATATGTGAAATCTTCGATCTAAATTCAACTTAACTTAATTAACTTATTGAAGTCGTGAGATTCTTGTTGAAAACCTTTAAATCCTTCAACTTTTGAATTTTTGTTTAATAATCAAACCAAATTCAGATTAATAACGAGTAAATAATTATTTTGTGTCAAAAAAAAAAATTTCACCGGAAAGACCATTGTGTGTCAAAATTACCAAGTAGAGAGTCATCTCAAAATTACAAAGGACTTTGAAACTTCTTCCAAATTGACTGTTCTACTATTAATGCTAATAAAGGGTAAAGTGCTAAAAAAAACAAAAAAAAAAAAAAAAAAAAAACAAGAAATTACCCTAGATATTCAATATAGGGCACATACAAGTACATAGCATCTCTGAAGTTCCAAAAACACCCTCGTGCGCAAATGAGGGCATGTTGATGCTCAGGAGTAAATTCACACAAATGTCCTTGTGTAACAGTAATATGAGTGAAAAACACCCCTCCATTATATATGTAGTGCATATAATTTCCGGACTTTGTTTATATATATATATATATAGGGTAAGTGTAAGAAATACCTTTGAAGTATACCTTTTGTAACACTTTTACTTCTTATTTAAAAATGTGTGCAAAAAACACCTCTATTCTTTTCAATTTATATGAAAACACCACTAAATTAATATAATACCTATTTTACCCTTTTACTCTTCCAAAAATGTCCCTACCAAACCTTACTCTCCACACAAAACCGTTTTACCCTTTCAATTTGTTGGATTTTGTTGCAGAGACCCAATTATCGCTGCCATTTTTGTTGAATCTCAATTGTTGCAAGACTCCTTCAATTCTTGTTGCAGGCGGTGGCGACAACTTGTTGAACAAAACAATAAATGAAAATTACAAGACAATATCAAATAATACTCAATAGTCCAAAGTGTTGAACAGAATGATAATTCATCGCTGTGAGAAAAATAAAATAAAATAAGAAATAGCAGATGGAGAGATAGCGGCGGTGGTGGATAAAGAGATAGCTGTCGGCGGTGACTGTGAGATCCAACTATGGTTGTTTAAACGAAGTAAATCTCCCCAATTTGCGTTTGCCTCGTTTGAATCGAACATTAGATTAAAGGAATCAGTTACAGACTTCGATTCTTCACGGCGTACCCAGAAAAGCTGCAAGACCCATTGGCAAACCCCACATCACCATAGTCCGTCGCCACCGTTCATCTGCCTCACCATCACCAAAACCTAGACAACCCCATTGGCGAGGATGAAGATAGCGGTTTGCGAGGGCAGTGAGCTTGGAACAACGGCCGACGAGTAAGAGGGAATCTCGACGGGTGGTGGCGATGGCCGCGAACAGCTATTTCGGCGATGGGCTGTGGAGAGGACTGGTTCGGCCGTGAGCTTACGACGCCTTCGTCTTTATCTCCCTCCCCGGCTACGTCTCCATCTATATATACATGTGTGTATATATATGTATCTGTATATATATAATTTGTAAATTTATAATAAATAAATATATATATTAATTTGTATACTTATGTCTGTGTATATGTGTATATATATCTATCTTCTCCAGTCTTCCCTTCCCTCGGCAACCACCAAGATGAAGGGCCAAGCCCTTTTTAGTCATTTCACAATATTATATATATATATATATTATAAAATGTGTTGCTAAGGGCATTTTAGTACAAATTTTATAAATATGACCTATTTGCACAAATATCATAGTTTAGGAGTGTTTTTTGTACGAGAGGAATGCAATATGCAGTATGAATATATTATATGGGTGTTTTTGCACTTGACCCTATATATATATATATATATATATATATATATATATATTATATGAAGACTTTTATGTTTGGAATACAATTAACTTAGTTTTTTTTTGTTTTTTAATGGATACTTCTTGGATGCTTGTTAGACTAGTTTTATCTATTAATCAAAGTTATATGTATTGAATAAAAAATCAAGGGCTGTTCTTTGCACTTTATCCATAGATGTGTTCACGAGTGTTATAAGCATTGTATAAAAAATCGAGGGCTGTTATTTGCACTTTATCTTATATTATTTTCGTTCCAAAAAAAGTGTCGTGTTTGGAGAACTGTGACAGTTTAATTTGTAAGAGTTACGATTTCCTAAAAGTAATACTTTTTACGGGACGAAGAGAGTACAACTTTAAAAATTAAAGGCTAACTCTTGGTCAAGCGAGCTGCACGTGTTCACTTTAACTGTTACTCTCTAAATTCTAATGGTTGTTGGACGGACGGTAATGTACAACATTTTTCCAAAGTGGAAGGTAATTATATTTACTCATTCCGTGTCGCCTAGCTTAGTTCTTCATCTCGGCGCCCTTTGCTTGGTAATTTCCTATCAAGCCTCTTTCTGGCTGACTTCCACAATAGTAGCTGCTTTGCCTTTCTCTGGTAAATTGGGTGGAGGCTTCTTCAAACAACACAGGGGCTGGCACAAATGATTTCTTAAAGGAGATTTCCCATTATTAGAAAAGAAAACTGCCGACTTGTGATTGTAAAATGAACCATTTGTGATTGTCCATATATATGGTCTTATTTTAAAACCCAATCAATCAAAACTTCGATAAAGAATATTTTTTTTTTTTTTTTTTTTTTTTTTTTCAGTAATTCAGTTTATTAATAAAAAGGAGAAAATGTACCTACAGGGAGGCCAGACCTCCAAACAGTAGCCCAAGGGCAAACAGAAGCCAGACCGAACACCAGGAAATCCATATCAACAAAAGGCAATTGTGTGATCCAACTATCGTAGCCTGGGAGTGTTTAAATATATAAATATTTTTATATAATAGTGGAGTAAAATCTTCTACCAATTATGGTGATTCGGTCCATTTACTTTCAATTATAAATATTTTTATATAACGCCCAACCCAGACCCAGCCCATAAATTTTGAAATTAGAACTTAAATTCACAAATCAGGCTCAAAACCCAAAACCAAGCATGTTCAGGTTGGACTCAGGCTCAACCTGAACCCAACCCAAAACCAAAAAAAATAAAAAATTCCAATATTTTTTATTTTTTACCTTCCAAATCTTTGATATATATATATGAAGTATTATATCCTAATTGATCTTTAATACATATATATAAATATATATAACCTGAGCGAAATCAAAACCTAAAATTTAAAAAAACTTCTAATATTTTTAATTTTTAACCTTCTAAATCTTTGATATATATGTATCTATTGTATCCTAATTGGTCTTTAATATATATATATATATATATATATATATATAGGGTAATGCTGTTGTGAGAGCACGCTCGCAACGTACAGCAGCGGCGCGCTCTCGCATATGAACCGCACAATTGATTCGTCTTGAGATCAGGAAAAAAAAATTATTATTATTATTTTTTGTCCCCTTTCTCTCTCCTCTCTCTTGTTTCTCTCTCTCTTTCTCTTCTTTTCTTTTTCCCTTCATTTTTTTCTTCTTATAGGCGAATGAGGGAGAGTGTGAAACCAGAGAGGATGGGCTCAAGCTCGGTGCTACACTGCCGCCCGCAGGAGGTACAGGACTGGAATTTTCATTGCCGATAAACACCCTTGTTTTTCCCTCAACCCTGCCGGCCGGTTTCACGTCGATGGTGGTCGTTGTTTTCCATAAAGCCCTCAAATAAGATGGGCTTGAGCTCAGCGCAGGCGGCGTAAATGGCTGCTACCGATGATGCAGAGGCGAATCCTCTCTTTTCTCTTTCTCTCCTTCGCCTATAAGAAAAAAAAAAATGAAGGGAAAAAGAAAGGGGAGAAAGAGAGAAAGAAAAATAATTATATATATATATATATATATAATAATAATAATAATAATAATAATAATAATAATAATTTTGCAGGTTTAAAAGTAGTACATTGACTTTGGAGACGGCCGCAAAAAAAAAAAAAAAAAAAAAAAAAAAAAAAAAAAAAAAAAACCCGGTTGAACTGGTCACCCCATTCGATCCGAAAATATTCTGGTTTGGGTTATTGACAGAGCCCAATTTTTTATGACAGAGCCTCATTTTTTATGACATCGGACTAGTCCAACCCAACCTAATTTCGGGTTAAGATTGAGTTGGGACTGGGCTGGGTTGGACCTGCCTAACTTGCAGCCCTATATATAGGCTCCTTGTACTCAAGCAATATATAGATCTGTATAATAAAAATGTAGCCCTTAATAGCTCTTTGTCCATAGATGCAGGCCTTAGTGCCGAACTTTATATTTGTTTGTGTTTTCTCTCTTTTTCCTATTTGCATTTCTTATTTCCGTCCAAATTTAACATGGTATCAGAGTCAAGTTTTTCTTGTAATCTCATCTAGAATTTGAGGGCGATTATTGTAATTATTATCATGGAGCATACTCTCTATGTCTTCACATTCCTTTCTCGGCATAGTTCAGGCTTTTTCCTGCGTAGCTCCAACCATTTCCCCGCTTCATTACGGCCATTTCCTGACGTTGTTCCGGCTTTTTCTCGGCATAGTTCTAGCCATTTCCCAACTTAGTTTCGTCTATTTCCTGGCTTAGTTTTGGCCTTTCCCGGCGCTATTTTGGCTTTGTTCTGGACACCGTTTCTTTATTTTTCAAGGCGTTTCTTTAATAAGTTGGGCATTCATGATATTCATGCTTCAACTTGAGAGGGAGTGTGAAAATATATAATTATTTCTCTATAATTGTGGAGCAAAATCCTTCACTAATCATGGTGATCCGGTCGATTTTCTTCCAATTATAAATATTTCAATATAACGGTGGAGCAAAATCCTCCACCAATCATGGTGCCTCCTTTGACTATTGTAAACCTTCCATATATTCTTATCTTTACCATGCCTATATATAGGCTCCTTATACTCAAGCAATATACAGATCTGAATAATAAAAATGTAGCCCTTAGTAACTCTTTGTCCATGGATGTAAACCTTAGTGCCGAACCATGTATATGTCTATGTTTTCTCTCTTCCCTTTTCTTATTTGCATTTCTTATTTCCACATCCAAATTTAACAGGGAGGGTTGAAGCAATAAGCACCAATGAAGGGGAGGATTATGTATCACAGAGATAGGGAGATGCCAAGAAGAAGCAACGTCGTTGTTACAGTATATTACATATTGTATACTAGGGTTAGGGTTAACCATTTTCACCTACCCTCGTCCACATAGTTAGGAGGAGCCAAGAAGAAACAACGTCACTATTAGAGTATATTGTATATTATATACTAGGGTTAGGGTTAGCCATCTTCACCTACCCTCCTTACCATGTATAACATTACCATATAGGGTTTACTTGATCTCCACACGCGTAACTTCTCATAAATAAACCTCTTTGTACTCTTGTACTCATCATC